TTTACTTTACGCTAAACACCCTTCCTTCTTGACTTTGACCTTATGAGAAATCCTTCGCTTTCGCATCTTCCCTTACCTCCGATTCCCCCCCTCCCCCCCCTTCCTTCTTCTTCCTGTCCTTCTAGACCCCTGTCTTCATCACTTTTACATCACTTTCTCTCCCATTAGCGTTGATTTTCTTGGCAATCTGGCATGAGATGTCCTTGTGCTGCAAGGGCCACCATTGGCCCGGGAAATTCATTTGTTGTATATAGAATTTGCGCCGGCTCCTCGGTTAATTTTCCTGTTTTGAGGATATGTCGGATGTGTACGTGACAGGCCATGTAGCATATAATGAGAATAATATTAGCATGATACCAATTACCCAATTCGATCCATGCTAAGCAGTATTTTCTAGGTGTCTGCGAGGTGAAGTGACGGTGAGCTGCAGGTGAGGAGGCTGCTTTGATAAGCCCTCTCTTATCGGCGCCTTGGCATTCGCGATATGCGATCGAGGCAGAAACACTCAGTATGAGTGAGGTCATGGCCTCGTTGCTCAGGTATCCTTCTGCTTCTGCTCTCTTTTCGGATAGAGTTTCTCGACGACCTGAGAGTCAGTTGGCTATGGGTGGACACTGACAAGGCACTTGTTGGGCTTCTTTCCATGCCTTGCTAACGTTTTTGCCTCTCTCATTCTCCACATCCCAAGTCATATGCCCTTTTTATCCCCTCTTCGCATACGCGCTTCGCAACCTGTATCTATCTCTATGCTCACCAACCCTCCTGGAACCTTCTGTCCCGGACTGAATTTGGCTCGCGGTGTCAGAACAACGATCTGCCCGCCCGTTTGAGAGGCTCGGATACCCGCATAGGCGGAAGAGAGGACTATGGCGTCCCACGCTGCCATGCTCCTGGACCCCAAGGCCTACAGAAAACAGCTTCAGAAGAATGGTAACGACCCAGAGCTTTCGTATGCGTTGCCAGATTCCCACATAAGCGCGCAGAATGAGGCGCATGATGAACCCTTGCTTTTCTTCCCATCATCCAGTCGATGCCCTTCCCCACCAGAGGACCCAGAGTACTTGGACCCAAATGACTTACTCGTCGACCGAACAGGCCAGCAAAATACCAGCGCATCACCGCGTGGTGCCCCTTCGACTGTCGCGCCGGCCGGGACAGTGTCCGCTGCACATCAGCTTCTCAACCCGCAGCGCCGCCAGCGCTCGTCCAAGGCCAGCCCGAAATCGAAGTCGAGGTCGCAGACGGACTCGGTCCGATCGCGAGAAGAGAGCAGTGCGAGCTCATCGCCACACCGGACAGCCAGGAATGAGCCTGCGCCGGAGGTTGAGTTTACGAGCACACAGTCCGAGGACGATAATGACTGGAAACGGAACTCGGATCACCTTGATAGTGACGTTGAGGCGCGTCACAGCAGTCTCATCGAGGATATGTATGGCGTGGAGAAACGAGTTCATCAGCCTTACAAGAAGATCAAAAGGGAGAATGACGAGGAAGCACCGAAGACGGTCAAGAATGGGCCGATTACCATCACTGGGGCCTCCGAGTTGGGCAAATATATGAAAGACGACAAGGGGAAGTCTGATTATTCATCTCCGGCCACACCAAGTGTGGTTGATCTAACTATCGGTGAGAAATAATCCTACGACACTGAGATTATCGGTGCTTGTATGCTGACAGTGTCATGCACAGATTCCGCCGGTGCTACTAATGACGACGACGACTTGCAGGTAACCGGGTCGAACAATCTCAGTGTCCAGCGGGTGTGTTATGGAAAGGTGGACAATGCGATGATACAAGCGCAAATCGTGCCCAAACCTGCTGCGCAAAATATCTTTGGCGACTCGGCGCACGATTGGCCTTCAATAAAGCTGGGCGTACATAGACACCCAGATCGAAATAGCTACAGGATTGATGTTTCAGATCCGCATGGGAAGGTCTTTGGTGCAGTTGACGCGAAGATTGCAGCCGTGATTGTTCCATTGCTTGACTCTCAGGCTCTCAAGGTTGACATGACAGCGCGATTAGACGTTCGCAGAAGGCTGCCGGGTGAAATGCCATGGGCCCCCTGCTCTGCTCTCTATAGAGCGTCAATCAATCTCTACGGTCTCAGGAAAGATGCTGAGCTGGTTGGTAAGCACCTCGGTCAGCACAATGTTTGGCTTGGGACACCGTTTTCTGTGGAACAAGGAGTGCCAGTGTTCAATCCGCATGCTGAGCGAAGGCGAGCTCAGGCGGCCTCCTTCTTGCCATCAATAGCTGCGAGGGGCCGTACTGGTGTCAACTATGAAGTTCGCACCGCGGAAGAGGTCAATGATGCAGTCATGAAGATGTTCGATCAGCTTCAGAGCGCGCAGAATCTTCCTGAAATCGAGACCCCGGATTTGGTGTTGACCCCTCTMCTCCGCCATCAAAAGCAAGCTCTATGGTTCATGACTGAGAAAGAGAAGCCGCGCAAGTTTGGTCCTAAAGAGGAGGATAACAATTCCCTTTGGAGGATAGAGTATCGCGCGAATGGAGTAAAGCGGTATCGTGAAATTATCAGCGGCACTGTCCTCGACGAAGAGCCGCCTCAGAGCTTAGGAGGCTTATTGGCAGATATGATGGGGCTTGGAAAGACTTTGAGCATTCTTTCGCTCGTTGTTTCCTCTTTGTCCCAGGCTCATGAATGGGCGAGGAAAATACCGGAGCCAGACCTTGTGCGAAGCCTACCTGGTATTCGCAACTGCAAGACCACTCTTTTAGTCGTTCCTCTCAGTACTGTCAACAACTGGGTTTCGCAGATCAAAGAGCATTTGAAGGAAAACGCCATCTCATACTACGTGTTTCACGGCTCCTCCAGGACCAGCGATGTGGACGAACTGTCAAGCTACGACGTGGTGATCACAACCTACAGCATTGTGCTGTCAGAACTGTCTCAGAGAGGATCCAAGCGAGGCGTAAGCCCGTTGACGAAGATGAATCTGTTCCGCATTGTTTTGGACGAGGCGCACACAATCCGAGAACAAAGTGCTGCCCAGACACAGGCAATATTCAAGCTAAACTCTCAGCGCCGCTGGTCCGTGACTGGTACGCCCATCCAGAACCGCCTTGAAGACCTTCTCTCTGTCACCAAGTTCCTTGGATTGTTCCCCTACGATGATCGAGCCCGATTTGGTATGCATATTCTTAGTCGATTTAAGACCGGTGACGCTACAGTTCTCGCAAGCTTGCGTGTTCTAGTTGACTCCTTCACTCTACGTCGGGTCAAAGATAAGATCGACATTCCTCCTCGGCACGACAAGATTATCACGCTCGAGTTCTCCGAAAAGGAGAAGCAGCTGCATGAATTCTTCCGGAAGGAGTCAAATGTCATGATGAGGGTGATTGCGGGAGATGACAAGACGAAGATGAAAGGACGAATGTACCACCACATTCTCAAAGCAATGATGATTTTGCGACAAATCAGTGCACACGGCAAAGAGCTTCTCGACAGCGATGATCGTAAGCGGATCAAAGGAATCAGCGTGCAGGACGCAATTGATCTCGAAGAAGGAACGGGCGAATCTGCCGGGGCGATTGATAGGAAGGCGTACGAGATGTTCAATCTGATGCAGGAATCGTCAGCCGATGCATGTGCCATGTGTGGCAAGCGCTTGGAAGAGCCCGGATCAGACACTGGTGTGACAGATCAGAAAGCTCCAATGGCCATAGTGCTACCATGCTTTGACGTTCTCTGCCCCGACTGTTTCTCCGGGTGGAAACAAGCTTTTGATGGTCAAGTCGAACCTACGAATACAATGAAATGCCAGGTTTGTGACGGTTGGATTCCTATTTCATATTCGACCATCACTGCCGAGGGACTTCAGGAGTACTTGACGGAGCATGAACAAGCGAAGCAGACCCGAAGGCAATCCAAAACCCTCGGCGAGTATGAAGGGCCACACACGAAGACCAAGGCGCTTTTAGCTCATCTCGCAGAATCTGCAGAGGAGAGCAAGAGACTGAACATTGAGCCCCCTATCAAGAGCGTGGTATTCTCGGCCTGGACCTCTCATCTTGACTTGATCGAGATTGCGTTGAAAGATCATGGCATGACAGGATTCACGCGCTTAGACGGGACAATGTCGCTCGCAGCTCGTAACAGAGCTCTAGAGGATTTCCACACCAACGACAACACCACTATCCTGCTAGCAACGATCGGTGCTGGTGGTGTCGGATTGAACTTGACATCTGCTTCGAAAGTATATGTCATGGAACCTCAGTATAATCCTGCAGCTGTGGCCCAAGCAATCGATCGGGTGCACCGACTGGGTCAAACGCGCGAAGTGACTACAGTCCAGTTTATCATGAAGGGGAGTATAGAGGAGAAGATCTTCGAGCTTGCCAAGAAGAAGCAGCAGTTGGCAGACATGAGCATGAATCGAGGCAAGCTTGACAAGAAAGACATTCAGGAGCAGCGGATGAGAGAATATAGAAGTCTCTTTAAATGATGTTCTTGCCTTTGTGATTAGCAGTTCGCTTTGTCTTCATTTACCCCGACTTATCTTCACTGGGACAGCATGGAGGGATGGATTTTGATACCCGAACACTTGATTTTGGCGTTGGACCGGTTTCTCTGGGCTTGGTTTCATATTTCTTTTGCTGTGGTCTGCCAGCTCTTTGCATTTTCTGTTTTTCTGAGTTTTGCATCTACGCCATGGAAAGGAAGCTACACACCATTCTGCAGACGCATAGACGCGTCGCCCTGAGGGCAAGGGTATACAGGACGCTACACAAGACGGCTGGACGCGAGTCCACAATTCATGGTAATGGTCATTTTTCTGATTTAGTTCCTTATGGTATACACTGGACGGATGGGCGCGGGATCATAAAGACATGCACTTTTTTGTTATGCTAGCATTTAATCATACATCTTATCATTATCGATATTGGTACACCTTACGTGTATGGCACAGAGCGCTCCGGATAGACTTTCCTAAAGTTGTCCGTCCAGCGTGGAAGAGACCAGCGACAGTAAGCCATCAAGAATATTTCTCAAGTAGCGCCCGATCTCCGTATATCCCCGTCTCAACCGCCCTCAGCACATTCTCCAGGGTCCTCCTCAATCTCTTCAACTCCCTCATCTTCAATTCCCGCTCCTCCTCGACCCGCCTCAACTCCCTCTCCAACTCCCGAATACGCTTCTCCTGCTCCGCCTCGGAGCTGTCAATCCCCGGCAACACCGATATCAGATACTCGATCTGCTGCTCCTTGATGATGAGATCCCGCGCCAGTTCCCGCTGCCGGCTCGCAAACGTCCGCGGGCTGTCCGGCGCCGGCGGCAGGTTTGCGTCCGCCCCTGCGCCTGCTGCTGGGCCGGGTGTCTGGCCACCATCGCCTACGCTTGTGCCTGCGCCTGCGGCGCCGTGCGCGGGATTCTGGGCAGGAGGGGAGGCCTGGGACTGCGCGGGGACCGGTGCGCCGGCTGGGACTGGGGGGGCGGTGGAGTTCTTGGGGATTTTGGCGAGGGCTGGGGCGGCGTCTGGGACGTCTGAGGGCGGGATTGCGGGGGAGTTGTCGTGGTACGTGCTTAGGTAGCCTATTGTGGCGTAGAATTGGGTTGCGAGCTGTGAGATGAGGGTCAGCTTGGTGGTTTTGGAGGGGTGTGGGTGGATGGGTGAGGTACCTGGTCTAGGCAGGTTTGGAGTTGGGTTAGGATGTCGGCCATTTTGGCGGTTGGTGAGTGATGAGTGACGGCAGCGAAGTGTAGGTAGGAGAATAGAACCCTCTCAGCGAGGTTTTGTTGCTGTAAGGCGAGATTGAGAGGATAGTTGGAGAAATGAGCGTGATGCGGAGAAGTCAAAGCGGTGATGCGGTCAGAACGGAGATGGTTTCCTTAGCTTCGCCAGCACAAGTCAATCGAAAATCAACCGTCGGCATGACTTGATATGAATCGGATCCATCTTCTCACCAGACTCTTCCGGCGCAACTTGTCAGCCAGTCCAATTCGTCGCGAGCTCGACCCCTTCACTCGCCGGCTTTTCAAGCTCCCTTCTCCCCCATCCCCGTCGCAACACCATAATGATCTCGCATCATTCCTCGCCTACGCAGAGCGGACCTCTCTCCCCACGACAAGCACAACCTACATAGGCACACACTACGAATACACTGTCCAGCAAACCCTCCAGCGCTTCGCCTTCTCCCTGCACCGAGTCGGCGGGCGCGACGATGCCGGCATCGACCTCGTAGGCACCTGGCACCTCCCGCAACACGAACACCCGCTGCGCGTCTTCGTGCAATGCAAGGCCCTCAAGACCAAACTGGGGCCGAATCTCGTCCGGGAGCTCGAAGGGACGTTCCGCCAGTCGCCTGTGGGATGGCGCACGGGGACGAAGATTGGAGTTTTGGTCGGCCCTCGTGAGGCGACGAAGGGGGTTCGGGATGCGATGGCACGGAGTGCGTACCCGCTTCTGTGGATGATGGTTGAGCGTGACGGGGAGCTGCAGCAGGCGCTCTGGAATAGTTGCGCTGAGCAGCTGGGTTTGGGTGCGTTGGGGGTGGAGATGGTGTATGGAGGTGCATCGAGTAGGAGGATCAGTTTGACCTGGAATGGGTCTGAACTGCCGTCTATGGACCAGGTCGAGGAACTCATGATGCAGCGGCAGGTTGAATGGCTACGACTATGGGATGCGGGCTCTGAGATGTCGGCGGCGCGTAGAGCAGAATTATTGGATCTTGTACAGCAGCTGTATCCTGATGAGAAGCCGCTCTTGTTAGGGGCTGATACGTGCACTACTTTGACAGAGGCAGATAGGACCAAGGTACTGCAGCAGCTGCGCAACAGGCTACAAACACCTGCGGAGGACAGTGGAAGTTAGCATGATCTCATCTGCTCGACTGTGTCGAGGTGCGAGCTAGTCACTGGCCACGGTTTAAAGAACAGTATATCGGATTGACGAGTACAAACGAATCCCTGGGTATATCAAGCGACAGAAGGCAAAACGCAAAAATTAAAATCACAAGCATCGCGTCATTATATCCCACAACTCGGAAACTGTACGCCTGCGATCCACCTGCGGGAATCCTCTCAAAGCACCAAACGCCGTAACCAAATGCACAACATCAACCCTGCATGGTTGACCAAAAGTAATTGGCATAGAAGAAACGCGAGAACTTGGGGTCCATATTGACCACATGAACGTCTCCCTTGCGACTGTTGCGAATAACAGCCTTGCCGAAGTTCCCGGCATCGTCCGCCTCGATATCAATGCCCAAAGACCGGTAGATCTTGAGCCGAAGTCTGTCGCATAATCGGTCAGTACTCTCCAGTAAAATAACGGAACACCACCCACATAGTCGCATCATCGGCCTCCCTCTCTCTCCGCGTAGTCTCATCGCCCTCGAGTCCCTGCGCTTCCAGCTCCGCCAGTCTCTCCTTGAGCATTTCCAGCTCGCCTTCCAGCCTCTCGCTCTCAATCTCAAGCTCTGTTGCTGCCTTGGCGATCCGGAATTTCTTCGTATCGAGCTCAACCATCTGCGCGGCATGCTTTGCCGAGTCGTGCGCGGACACGGCTTCCTCGTGTTGCGCGGTTAGGGCGTGCAGGTTGCGAGAAAGTTTACGGAGCGCCGACTCGGCATCGCGCATGCGAAGCTCGCGAGATTGTTGCAAGGTAGACAGGGAGTCATTGATGCGCGTGACGGCTTGTTTGTCCGGTTGGATATTGAAGTTGCCGATGGTGTGGTGGATGAGCTGCGTTTGTTAGTCTCAGTCTGGAGAAAAACATGTACGAAGACATACTGTCGCGGGGTCTTCGTCGAGCAACATTTTGGAGATGGTGAAAAGGTCACAGCCGGTCGTTTTGTTCTTTTGAATTGTCTTGATTTTACCAGAGGGAAGATGGACTGTTGATGGTTCCCGTTGGGGGAGCAACAGCCACAGCGCCACACATGTGCTGACACAGCCACATGTTGGTGGGTGACGAAACATTGTAAATGGCCTGCTTGATGGAGATGGACTAGGCTAGATGCTTCTTTACTCAGTTGAAAATCATCTCTCAGTTGAAGTTTCTGTTCTGCTATTATAGCAATATACCCAGTACTCAACTACAACCGGATCTAACAATTTTACCAACATCACTACACCACGATGGGATCCAACCTACCATGTATGTCTTGTCCAGGCTACAGTCACTTTACTGGGGTATATCAAACTGACCACCTTCGCTTCCTTAGATGCTGCGGACGCTGAAAGGTTAGCAATTTCCGGCTTTAGATGTCATGCCGTCGCTAAATTTACATGATTCCAGTCCGTTGAAACCAGCAGAGCTCCAAGTCTTGCGGGCCCAGTACGAGAAGGAGGGTGATTATGTTGGAATCCAGACGAAATTCAACTACGCATGGGTATGCCGGCTACTACTTCTGTTTCTAGTCAACCAGCTGACAAGATAGGGCCTGATCAAATCCCACGCTCGGACGGATCAACAAGAGGGAGTCCGTCTTCTATCAGAAATCTTCCGCGCATCCCCAGAGCGACGACGCGAATGTCTCTACTACTTGGCTTTGGGAAACTACAAGCTCGGAAACTACGGCGAAGCCCGGCGATACAATGATCTGCTCCTTGAGAAGGAGCCGGGGAACCTGCAAGCTGCCAGCCTCGGCTCGCTGATCGACGATAAGGTCTCCAAAGAGGGTCTGATGGGCATCGCCATCGTGGGAGGCCTGGCTCTGGCGGCGGGAGTAGTAGGCGGTCTTGTCTTCAAAGGTGCCGCAAAGAGACGGTGAATGGGGTTGGCTCTTGGTTTTGAAAGTCGTGTATATATCATGATTCTCCTACTCTTTTGTGCGGGCTTTATTTAGCATATGAGGCGTTTGTCTGTAGTTTGAGCGCAGGACCACTGGGATATTTTTAATCCTTCGAGTGTTGCTGGGATGAATTATGTGTACAGTGCTGTCTTTTGTCTGTATTGGTACCTGAATCCGATCCAATAATTAGGTGTCTAGAATGTGGCTGACTCTGGGAATGTGAGCGCTGTCAGTCCGCCACTCGGTGAATCAGCAGTCAACGTCATCCGCCGCCGGGCATCGGCCTGTTTGTTCTTCTGACGTGCTCCACTACCTTCTTCTTCCTCGGCCTCATCATTTGCACACCTTTGATTTCATTTGCTCTTCTTCCATTATCCTTTACTATCAGGTCATTCTCACAGAGATAATGAATTGCTTCTCCTGGTGAAGAAAGCATTCACACTGCTGTCAATATGTTTCTGGATGATTCAGAGATCCTAAGGAATAAGACACGCGAGCTTCCAACTGTCTGACCTGCCGGTACTCTTTCATCGTTTCTACTACTTACATAGTTACTTCCTCGGAATCTTCTCAGCATCAGTAGACTCTCCTTTCTTCTCGTCTCATTCGCCGTCATGGACAACGTTGCTATGGCTGATGCGGGGGACCGCATGTTCTGCCATGCGTGTGGTGGAGTTTGGCTGAAAAATGCTGCTAATGGGTTGGACTGTCCCCACTGTCAGTCCGATTTCACAGAGATTGTAAGCACCTCAGCTGCTTGCTTTTTGTCATTGAATCTCTGCTAATATCGTCGATATCAGATTGAAATCCCGCCCGATACAGAAGACCCCTCCTCTCGACCCGCGAATGACTCCCCACCCCGCGAAGAGAATAATCAAACCAACGTCAACCCTTGGGCCGATCACAACCCTTGGGCGAATGAAGAAGACCATGGAGCAGGCGACAACGCATGGGGGCCAGGGTTCTCACGTCGTACATATAGGTCCCCCGATGGCCGGTTTACTTTCACAACTACCACAACCACTTTAGGTGGTGGCGGCTTCCGCATTGGCCGATCTATGGACCAGAGACAAATGCAGATAGACCCGTTGTTGCCGGTGGTGCGCAGCTTGGATACTATTTTCCACGGGTTGGCCGACACCTACCGGCAAGGCCAGAATCAGAATCAAACCCAGAATCGGAACGCAACAGGTCAGGGAAATGAAACGGACGCCGACGAGCATCGAGCACGGAGTGAATCGCCCGAATTCCATGCAACTGGCAGGTTATTTGCGCGAGATGCGGATGGTCCGCAGCCGGTGGCACCACCTTTGGGCACCCTAGGCGAGTACGTAGCCATTTTCTCTCAGCTGTTCATTTGTCCATGGCTGACTTGCTTGATAGTATCCTCGAACTGTTTCGTGCCGACTTTGGGGGCGGTGGGGCAGGTGGAGGAGTGCGTGTGATGACTGGCCCGAATCCTCTGGCCGTGCTTTCTACTCTGCTCAACTTTGATCGACACGGAGATGCGGTGTACTCGCAGGAGGAACTGGACCGGGTTATCTCACAGTTGATCGACCAGAATATCAATCGAACCGGGGCTCCCCCGGCTCCGGAAAGCGCTATTCAGGCCCTGCCGAAGAAAAAGGTCGACGAGGAGATGCTAGGGAGCGATGGCAAGGCAGAGTGCTCGATTTGCATGGAGCAAGCCGAATTAGGCACGGAGGTCACAGTCTTGCCTTGCAAACACTGGTTTCATTATCCCTGCATTGAAGCCTGGCTAAGCCAACATAACACATGTCCCCATTGTCGCAGGGGGATCGATACCCGACAGTAAGCTTTTTCCCCCTTTTTCGAAGGGTTGTTAATAGTGATACTGACCGATACACAGGGCTGAAGGAACCAGTCAGGATCCAGTCGTCATCAGCGACAGTCCTGAGCCTACATCTCCCGAGCGCCGTCGTAGTAGTGGTTTAGCTCAGCATAGCGGACAGGCCCCTCCCGCATGGGGTGTACATCCCTCGTGGAATACTTCAGAATCAGACGAGCATAATCAAGGACAATCGAGTCACAGCGAAGGTAATGAACATAATCAAGGACAATCCGGTCATAACGAAGCTAGCGGCAGCGGAGGGTTTACCGGGTGGGTTAGGAGTCATTTTGGTGGCAGCTGATCTGCATTCATGAAGCATCCGATTTTGGGTTGAGTCTTTATAGGCTACGGCTTCCTGGGTACATTGCCTCTGACTGGTGATTATTTTTCTTATTCTTATCCTGGGCTTGATTAGCATGAGCATGAGATGAGCATGAGCCCTTATGTTGATGTAAATAACGAATCCAGCATTGCTGAATATATCCTCAGCACCATCCAATACCACCAGAATGTCTAATGCCAGCAGCGACTCCCAGCATTACATCTCAGTCAACCTTCGAGTGAACGCAAATACTGAACATTACAACCCTTGAATTAGGTTTCTCCAAATTATTCTCCACAACACGAAGCTCCACTGTCCGCCCCGCCCCCGCCACGCCTTGTGCAAGACATAGCTTGGACATGGTCTAGTAGACTACATATATGAGCGTCTTCCTTTCACATATTCCTTTCACCTATTACTGTAATTATCCCCATCATCTTCCCCCTCAAAATGAAAACCGTCTTCACCAATGGCCTCATCGTCCGAGGCAACGGGAGCACGCACTCCGAGCCCGTGCTGGGCTGCATGGTCGTCGAGGACGACAAGATATCATACATAGGCGCCGAAACCGACTTGCTCGTCGCACAAGCAAAACAAGCACCAGGTGTCGAGATCGTAGACCTGCAACGGCGAACCGTCATCCCGGGGTTCATCGACGGGTATGTCATGTCCACCCGTTCACATTTCTGATCTACTATAAGAAATGCGCCGCTACGGAACGCTCCGCCCCGCAGCTAACAAAAGATCAAGACACATGCACCTCCTCCTCTTCGGCGCGGGGCTCTCCAAAATCGACCTCGGGCACTGCAAATCCCTCTCCGACATCCGCGATACCATCAAGACCGCCGCAGCGCAGCGCCCGCACGCCCCCCGCCTCTTCTGCCGCGGCTGGATGCACGCCATGACAGACGGGCAGGCGCTGGCCAGCATGCTCGACGACCTCGACCCGCGGCCTATCTTCATCGACTCGAAGGACCTGCACAGCGCGTGGTGCAATACCGCCGCGCTGCGCGAGCTAGGCGTCGCGGACACGCCCGATCCCGCGGGCGGGATCATCCACCGCGGCCCGGACGGCACGCCTAGCGGGTTACTGTCCGAGGCAGCGGCGGTGAATATCGTGTGGCCGCATGTGGCGCGGGTTGCGACGGCGGAGGAGAAGATGGGGTTTGTGCGGAGTGCGGTGGCCGCGTACAATGCGGCGGGATATACGGGGGTGGTGGAGATGGCGACGGACGAGAACGTGTGGGGGACGATGCTGGCGCTGCGGGAGCGCGAGCAGGTGTCGCTGCGGCTGGCGGCGCATTGGATCATCACGCCGGCGGCGACGGTGGACGAGTGTCTGGCGCAGGTGGACCGCGCGATCGAGMTGCATGGCGTGTACAATGCGCGCTCGTCGCCGGATTTCCGCATCGCGGGGATCAAAGTGATTTGCGATGGGGTGGTGGATGCGTGCACGGCCGCGCTGCTGCAGCCGTATGCTGCAGCTGCTACGGCCGCTGACACTAAGGGTCAAGTGAACTGCGAGCCGCTGTGGCCGGTCGACATGCTGCGTGCCGTAGTGGCCAAGGCGGACGCAGCGGGCTTGCAGTGCGCGCTGCATGCGATCGGCGATGCGACGGTGCGGCTGGCGATCGACACGCTGGCGGCGGTGGGCACGCCCGGCCGGCGGCATCGCATTGAGCATCTGGAGCTGACGGCACCCGAGGACGCGGCGCGGCTGGGCCAGCTGGGGATCACGGCCTCGGTGCAGCCGGTGCATGCGGACCCGGCGATCCTGCGTGCGTGGCCACGGCTGCTGGGTGAGGAGCGGTGCGCGCGCGCTTTTGCCTATGCCGAGTTTGCAGCCCACGCAGCGCCGCTGGCCATTGGGACGGACTCGCCGACGGCGCCGCATCTGCCGCTGAGGAATCTGTATACGGCGACGACGCGGCGGTCGGCGCGGGAGCCGGACTCAACAGCCACGGTGAACCCACAGTTCAAGCTGTCGCTGCTGCAGGCGGTTTCGGCGGCGACGGCCGGCTCGGCGTACTCTTGCTTTGCGGACGGGTTCACGGGCAGTCTGGAGGTCGGGAAGAAGGCGGATTTTGCGGTCGTCGAAATGGAGTGGGAGGCCGAGAAGCTGCTCGAGGCCACGGTGTGCGAGACATACTTTGATGGACGGAGGGTGTACAGCCGTTCCTGACGCAGCAGTTCATCTAGATATACCTAAAAAGTATATACACACGTAGGAAATATCACAACTTTGGCTCGGCATACTTCCTCACCACCTTGTTGCATAGCTCCCCTAGCACACCCGCAAGCCACTCGAAATCGCTCTTCTCCAGGTAAACCTGCGCACTCAGCCGGGTCCACAGCCACCCGCCATGCACAAACACAGGCACAAAGGTCCCATAGTCCCGCGCCAGCGCCTTCTGCATCTCCCCAGCGACCTCCCCGACCTGCGCAGCCTGCAGCGTCAATCGAGCCGTGGCCGTCTTCGGATCCTGCTCACCACCAGACACGGCAAACGGCAGCCGCACGGTCGCCATGGCACAGCGCCGGAGCTGGCTGACCTCTCCGGGCTTCAAGTCGGGCTCCTGCATCACATCCGTGCCCAGCGCCGCGGCAACAATGTCCCCGGCCTCCCGCGCCAACTTCTCCAGGTACGCGTAGATGCGGTCCTCGCCGCCGCAGACCTGGGAGCGGAATTTCAGCGCCGCAGGCACACACAGGTACGCCGTGTCGTCGGTGGTCGCGACGAACTCGAAGAGCCCCTCGAAGGCGGACTTGCCCGAGTTGCTGCGCATGAGCGAGGGCGCGGTGGCGGGGGAGTCCGGAGATGGAATGAAGCCCCAGGAGGTGGGAAGAGTAGTCCGGAGGAAATGTTGGTTGCGAACGGGGACGTAGAGGATGGCGCTGCCCCGGGGGGTATACAGCCACCTAATCATGTCAGGAACAAGTCAAGATAAAATCCCGAGAAAACTCACTTGTGACAATTACTCGTGAAGAAATCCGGCTGCAAAGCCCCCAGATCCAGGGGAATCTGGCCAATGCCATGCGCCCCGTCCACAACACTCAAGATGCCCTCGGCGCGACACGCCTCGATCAACCGCTCAAACGGGAACCGCACACCAGGCATACTGACGATCGTATCAAACACCGCAACACGAACCTTCAATCCCTCCGCCTTAGCCTTGGCCACGACCTCGAGGAACTTCCGCACAAGCTCGTCATGGCTGATGGGGAGCTTGTATTGGACCTTCCGCACCTGCAGCGGCGTGGTCTCACAGAGCGAGACAAGGGTCTTCTCTACAGCGCCGTAGACGGTGTCAAAATACACCAGCACGTCGCCCTGTTCGAAAACGAGGTTGCGCAGGACGGTGTTGACGCCCGTCGAGGCATTCTTGACGAACACGCACTCGTTGGTGGGCACATTCAGCAGCGCGGCCACGGCGCGGCGGGATTCGTCTATCAGTTGCGGCTGGATGTGCCGGATGAACGGGTCCGGACGGGCCTCGATTTGAGACTGGAATTGTCGCAGAGCTGTTTGCACTGAAACGGGATATGTGCCGAACGAGCCTGTGGGGTGTTAGCCCAGGTCAATGGAATTTGTGCCGAGGGGACCTGCCATGGTTGAGATTTTTGTAGTCGGGGTCAAACAGAAAGTGAGTTTTTGCCATAGAGGCACCAAAGGGCGCAGGAGCAGACATTATGTTTAGGAAAGAATCTCTATGGTTGTTCTGACTCTCAATTGAGATAATTGAAAGGAATGGCCGACAACAGCGGGGGATAAAGACAAGATAAACGACTCCGTACGAATACGAAGACTCACCCGTGAGTCATCCACACCCCACGCCCTATGGACGCCACGAGATAGATAGTTACAGTAGTACAGTAGTACACCGACTCTTGCACTGACAAATTAGTTCAGCTCAGTTGATAAGATCAGTTACCATGAAGTGTGTGTCTGCGGCAGCACAATTGTGGTACTGCGGATATCGTCGGATCTTGAGCATCACCACCCAGACATACTCGTACTGCGGACACTGTCAATGAGAAACTCTAACAAGTGCCACAGGATGCACTTGGCTCAATTGATAGAGAGGTATTGACGATTTATCCCAATAGATTACACGAGCAAAAGACAAGCCCAGCCGCGGACCACGTGTCATACCCAAATAGGCCATAGATCTCATATCTACACACAGGAACAACAGGAATACTGAGTCCGTCAAGTATTCTCAACATCACACAGGCCATCCTACAGGTTCATCATTCACCGCTTGCCCTTCTTACGGGGGGCCACCACCTTGAACGCTGCGTTGGTGCTCTCTTCTTCGCGGTGCGCATTGGACGACCCCTTCTTGGCCACTTCACTCCATCCGCCTCCGGCAGCGTTCTTCTGGTCCGCAAGGGCGCTGGGTGCCACCGGGTCAACAATGCCCTTGTCCGCTAGCTTGCGACGGCGAATGAACTCCTCCGCAAATCGCCGGCCATCCAGCGTCTGCGAGTTGGCATACACCGAGTCCGAGATGATCTCCGCCTCGGCGGGCAAGAAGAGCAATTGTTGCACGAAGTCATCCACTAAATCACATTAGTTGTTTGCTCAATCACAACCAATCACTCCCGTAGATGTAGAACTTACCATTGATATTGCTGTTCAGCCCCTTACCCAAAGACAACTTGGCCCATTTGGTAAACTCCTCCAGAGCGCGGTTGGCGTTTGATGGCGGGGCGCTACTGACGGCCACAGGTCGGGGAGTGGCAACGGGTACGGCCCGGGGCTTCGCGGGCGATGCGGCCAATGGAACATTACCGCTGGCAGCGCGGGGACCAGATGGTGCGGCAGGGGGAGGCTTAGGCTTGCCGCCGGCGCCCACGGTAGTCCAGGCACCAGAGCTGGCTGCAGGAACGGGGGTTGTCGAAGGGGCCTTGCTGGCAAGATCCGCATACCGCTTGCCGGTCGATGTCGCGGGTGGAGAAACAGCTGCGGTCTGAGC